AGAGAGAGAGCTTTCTAAATATTTTTAGATACAAAAATTGCAAGATTTACATGAGCCATTCATATACAACGATATTTTATATAAATTTTTTTATATCTAGAAACTCAAATATATTATGTATAACCAGACGTAGAATAAATATCCCAAAATCGCTGATTGAAAGAAAAGCTGATTTTAAATTTTTCTGTAAAATTATATTCTATTATTTTATCATTGCACATTAGACTTTGTAACAAAGAATCGAAATTTTCGATTAATTTTTATTCCTTTATTAGAATCGATTTAAAATAATTAATTTAAAATAAAATTATTAAAAAAAAATTATTTCTTTAATCTCTTTAATTGATCACGTAGAATTGCCGCGATTCCAAATTATTTTATTTAACGACGCGACGCATTGTCTCGCGGTAAGTTAAAGTTAAAGTTAAAGATCAAATATTTATAATTGAATAAAACAAATAATCACTACGCGGATTGTATTATCAATTGTTTATGAAAAGATTCGTTATCAATATTTGCGATAATCGAGTTGCAATTGTTACTGTGATTTAATATTCCATACCGACGTCAATCACACACAATTACTCTCGTTATAAATTTACATAATAATTTCCAGGGGATTCCAATGGGAATTTCAATGCATTCTTCAAAACTCATGAATATCCAGTTATCTCAATCTTGGGGAAGAAACGAAGGGAAATTCTGTGCCCGACTTCATAAATTCTATCTCTTTCTCTTTCTTTCTTCGCAGACACTTCACTTCATAATTACTTAAATATAGTTTCAAGTAAAAATTCGAATTAATGATGTGCTAAAAACGTGCTCATTAATCTCAATGACTCGTTTGTCAACCAACAAGCAAATCATTACATACATTTTAATCTAAAGAATATATTTCATGTAAATTACGAGTTAAATTCAATCGAAAATTGGAAAAATTAAAAAGACACATTCATTTACATATAGTACCGCGGAGTTACATGTACCGAGATATTATTTTATTTAATTTATAAAAAAATTTATATCTCTAGAGGCATAGATTATAATATATTATATATACATATGTGTACACAATGACGTAGGCGCACGTATGTGTGTAATTTAATCGCGCATGTATTTTAGATGGCATTTATGAAGAGATACTCTGTACCGTGTTTTTGAACGACATTTGCCAGAATGTTAAACGCCTTAGTTATTCAAAGAAATATTTCGCACGATTGAATAATTGATAATCACAGTTCTACACATCTGACTCGAAAAAAATATATCATGTCATCTCGCGCTCTTATTATCGCGCGGATATTTTTACTAATTAAAGCCATCGACAAATGTCGCAGCGCAAGATAATACAATCGGAATAACGCGATTCCATTGTACATGTAAATATTTGATATCAATCAGATTGTAGTGCGGTAAGTGCGGCAGGTTCTCATACCTACCCGCTTTTCATCTCTCGTTGGCCACGTCTGCCTTTGTACTTATAAAACGATTAAAAAGCGATCGTTCACATCCACAAATGCTATGCCAAGCTGTGTCAATTATACTATTCCCCTTTTTTCTCTTTCCTTTGCTATATTTGTGTCGCGTGCATTATATCTCCTCTTGCGTTATTGCCAGTGCATTTCCGTCGCTGCATAGCGAACAATGGTGTAGGTATTTAATACTCGCTCACTATAATAACTCGCCAAGAAAGTTTGTGATTTCAAATATCGCCCAGGCGCCACAGACATCCATCTCTCTGGGTTGGCTATCAGTGCGAACAGGAACAGACGAAGGGTGAAATTTTATAAAATTGAGTTCGCTGCTTTAATGAACGGTATCCGATAAACTCCTTACAAGATGAAATCGCAATTCATCGTTTCATCAATGTTTGGCGCGAAAATTTTAACATTGTTAAAAACAGGAGATATGGTAATGTCTCGGCACTAAGTCAAGCGCAAAGACATTACTCATACAGCACAGAATTTGCAGCAATATTGCTGCAAAATCTTTGCAAGTGTTGCTGCAACTTTTATGCTATAGAGATACCGTGTTCTTTACGCGAAACCGCGAGTTGCAAAGAATCAAGATTATTATCTCAACAACGGCTGAACCGATCAAATTCTATATTCGCTTAATCAATAGCGTTCACTCAAATTGTATAAAAAAACTTTTATTTTTTTCCCCCTACGAGCGGAGATATTGCAACGCAAAGTCCTGATTTAAAAAAGTTTTAAGATACGTCATCGTTATTATGTTTATGTTCATCATTGTCCTTCAACTAGAATATACTGTTCGGTCTGAGAGTGCACTAGTCGTCCAGTCAGAATGTATCGTTGGATATTTAGGCGCGAAAGTGCATCAGCGTATTGATGCAAGAAGCACTAGTGCATAATAAACGAAATTATTATAGGTATTCTGGTATTTGTTAATAACTCAGCTAGGAAATGATAATGAAAAGCAATTTATTCATCGATCTCCATTTGTTTATAATTAATACTTAACAAAAAGAAATCGAACGGAAATGAAATTATACACTGGATTTGTTAACCAAGCTAAAAAATGATAATAAAAATGCGACTTATTCATCCTTGATATCCATTTGTTTATAACTTAATTTTGTTTTATATAAAATAATGAATATAACAGATAGGGGAAGTCCAGGGAAAGCTAACGCCCTAAGCAAAGCAAATATTTTTTTATTTTCTCTTATCTATCCGAAATAATGCTATGAATCTCTGTTGAAGGAATGATCGATCGACTACGCCATAAAAGTGTGAAACATATGATTGAGTTTGTGTTTGATAGAGAAATAAATAATTGTGCGTTTTCTTGCAATTTTTGTTAAGGTACATAATTTAATTATTAGTAGTAACTGTTTCTTAACCAGTGTGAATGATTTTTTATAAGAATTCTGGTCTGACTTTAAATGTTTATTCGAGGTTAAAATTTTTCTTGTTGCTTAACTTGTTGCTTAACTTATTCTAACTTTCTTAAATTGGTGCCAAGTAGGTTCTTTAGGCAAAGTGGATGGGGATAAAGTGAATGACCTATCCTCTTTAAGTCTTTATCCAGTATGTGATTGCACTGAAAATATCGGGAAGACGGAAAGACAGACGATCTTTCGAGTGAACGAAAGGCACATGATTGTTTATATCTCACTTTAGTTTTTTTACCACAACGCAGTATAATGTGTTCTGAAAAATACACCGACCTATCGTCCGAAGATTAAAATTCAATGCATCAAATGGGCTCATGAAGACTGCACTATATAAAAATTTGGCAGCTACTTTTATGACGATTACTAAAATTAATTTTGATTTTTTTATTCCATTTTCATTGCTCGAGTAACTCGTCCGCTTTGCCCAGGGAGGTCGGGCAAAGCAGACGATTTCTTTTTATTTACGTTTTGATTAAAAAAAAACATTTAAATGTTCAAGTTTTATAATTAAATTTTATTTTATTTCAAAGTTGATTCATAAAATAAAATTATAAGAATAAAAAAGATTTCTGATCTTAATTTTAACTGTTTTTCTTCCTAACATTTTTCTTTCTAAACCTTAAAACATCTGCTTTGCTTGAATTTCCCCTAATATTCAACATCGGATAAAAACAAAAGTATACATAAAATTTAATATACAACATATACAAATTATATGTTGGTATTTTGTTAATTATCATTCTTCGGAAAATACAGATGTCGTTTTGACATTTTTACCGACTCAAATAATTATCTTTTTAATTCTTCTTTAACTTATTAATATATAAAAATTATATATATATCTATATATATATCACGAAGAAAAAGGGTCAATAAAGACCAATTTCAGTCCCCTTCAAATTTCGTACAAACACTAAACAATGAAAATCTATTTCTTGAGGTCAATTGTAAGGTAAACTGTTTATCAGGAAGACGTTCACTACAAAATGCGTGATATCAGTACAAACTTACTTTTTTAAAAAAGGTAAAAAAAAGTGCTAAAAGAATATATGTGCTTCTCGAATAAAACCTAAGTGTCCAACCCAATTAACAGTAGTTTTAATTCTTCTTCAAAGATATTCTTATTGAAGGTATTATTCCAAGTAATGGTAGCTTTAATTCTCTGTCAAAAATTATTATTACTCTTCGAAAACAACTAATGTATTAAATGAAAAATTAAAATCCAGATGCTACAGTCTTAACTAATCAAGTTAAATTCTATTGAATTAAAAAATAAAATCCAAGTGTAGATCCTATCCCCCACCACGATTCTATCCCGAGTTAAAGAGATTCAGTTCCTTGAAACCAAATTAGAACTCACGATCGTACGACTCTTGAAAACGGAATCATAGCATCTTATCCGGATGTTGACCTATATTTCGAAGTCATCTAAGTGCGTTCGACTCGCTCCATTCCCTTCTACGCGGTGCATGCGAGACAAAGCGTCTGTTGTAACATCCTTCTATACTCTATCCTTCTCATTCCCTTTCTTTCTAAACCAATCCATTCACATGTTCGGAATTTGGACGATATTTTGTTGGTATTATTAATAATGTAATCGCTAAAGTGTAATAAGTTGTTTTTTTCAGAATTCTATTAATTTGTTTCTTATAGTTATTTTATAAAAATCTATTTGATAATAATGGAGACTGTTACAATCTTATCACCAATATTTTAATTATTAAGACATTAAGAAAGTGTAATTTGAATTGTTTTGTCAATAATTCTATAATTGATCTATTACAGTTATTTTTTTTTAATGTAGATGATAATGGTAGTGATTGTTACAATCTTATTATATTAAAGATTAGTTAATAAACTTTTTTCATCTGATAGGTCAATCAAAAGTTTCGAAGCATTTGTAGCATCAAGTGGATCGTATCCCTTGTTTTGTCCCTTTTTTTAAAATCATTTCATGCATTTGGCGAATTTTGGGGCCTTTTGGTGAATTTTGAAGCAGGGATTTATTGAAATTATTTTCTGACCCGCGGCAACTTATAATGCTAATGGCAGAAGAGGGAACCTCCTCCGCAACAGGTTGATGGAAAAGGGGCCGAGAAGAAGAAGGAGCAAGACGGAGAGGGAGACGAAGAAGAACACGAGAGAACGGTCATTGCCACTACCTCACCTCGAGAAGTACCCGAACGCTAGTTCGGAGTACGAGAGTCCCCGTCGGCACGATAAGCGCCGGCCCCGATATGGTCTACTATCCGTGGCTATCCCGCAGTTTAGCTTGCCGTTTGTACCTATTCGGCTTTACCTCTTACTTGTGTGGGGAGCTAACTTCCCTCTCTCAAGAGGACGCGAACGAGCGCGCGTGCTCGGCCGACGTGTGCGTCGTGGCCTGCCAATTCTTCGTACAGGGGGAGCGAGCCCACAAGTGAACACCAGGATCGGGGGATCTAGAAGTCGCAAACCGAGCAAAACCAGTTCGATAGGTGCCAGCCGTGGCGAGCAGGTCGAGCCCATCAACACATACTACTGGACGGAGCATAGCATCTTGACAGACATAGAACGATGTTTAGGTAGTAGTGAATCATGTAATCAAGGCATTAAAAAAAATGTCTCTCAGGATCCATAGGAAAAATATAAGACATTTATCATGTTTATAAATATTTTAAATATAACTATAATTGTTGATTTATCTTCGCTTTTCATATGCTGCACATAACTGTAAATATTAATTTTACATACATCTGAATGAGTTGGTACATCTGTGCTCAGAGTGTTAGTTTTATATAAAATACACGTAAAAACCAAATTTCTTAATTTTATTTTGTATCTAATATAATATAAATGTGTAATTCTAATTTTAATGTGCACCGCATTTACTCCGTTAATACCAATTAATACCTCTGTAGTGGTTCCTGATTTTAAAGAATACACTACTGTCTTTCCTCTCTTAAAACATAATTTCACCAATAGGACAATAATAGAAAAAGAGTTCCGTGCCCAAATATTTAAATTACTCTTTTTTTTCGTCCGTTAAGAATCCGAAAGATCAAAAAGATTTCGCCGATATATCGATCACTGGTAGCTGTCACTATGAGAAATATCTTCCTCCCATCCACGGATTCCTGATTCGTGAATCTGACTATCGCACGCATATGATATCTCGTGTTTGCCGAGTGGATGTCCCGATGGGATTGATTGAAGGGCGTTCTCCAAAGCCCGTGAAGGTCACAGGGTCACAGATGAAACACCAGGGAAGCGCCAGGTATGGGAAACATCACTCGATAAGCTTGAACCACGTGCCGCAACTGTTCACCGGAGATTTGCAATTGAGAATACGAGATCTGAGTCTGACTGACGTCAGGTAATCCAGGATTTCGTGGAACATGTCGAAAACTTAATTCGACCATAATATCATCAAAAGGAGATAATGCATCGTCGTATAGTTTGACAACGTCAAACAACTTGAAAGAGTTTTGCTGCAACGTGACAAGCAGAAGCAGAAGCAACAACAGCAGCGATCTGTCGAGCAGTATCAGTCAAGGTATGCTTACGACTCTGTTTCAAGATCCCGAGGTATAAACTTCTTCATATCTCGGGACTCAGTCATACTTTCTTGCGCGAGTGACCTTCGTTAAGATTACAACGATCGACGATCGATGGTATCGTTTTTTATAAGAGAGCAATGCACTTTCAGAGATAATTCATGATAATTAAACGATTTAATTGCGCGATTCCTGTGCAGGATTTCTACGGTGGGTCGAACAAATGATTTCTTCTGTAGTCTCTCATCCTTGATTCTCGAAGTCAGTATCGACGCAATAATGCTTTTTATAGTTTCTATGGCAGGATAATTGGTCGGTAACTATTGATAGATCAACAACATTAAATTCATCCCGAACAAAGAATCATCTTTATAACATTTTTATGACATTTAATAAACTCTGGCTAAAAAAGTTATTGATATTATTAATTGTTTTGAAGTGGAAATACAACTCTGAATCGATTAATAAACTTATATTATTTATAACGGAGTTATGAGCAATTAAAGTCAAAATGATCCTTTTATTTAATCCGCGATAACTCAGTAATTAAAAATCGTAGGAATATTTAAAAAAAGAAACCGATTTTATAGGGAAAATATCAAGCTTTCACGAGGTAGTCGAAAATTTTTTCAAATTTGTTTTGGACACATTAAAAAAAACTTACAAAGTGAGAAAAAAATTTTCCGTCTTTTTCAGCTCGTAATTTTTGGTACGTAAAAATTATCAAATTCATATAAATTTAAATTTCATTTATTATTGACGAAGATATACAACTTTGAGTTTAAAAAACGCAATTACTTCCTTGCCAACCCAATAGATGAAACGAATGTCAACAGATAATTATTAAATATGTATATATAACAATATTTACGTACAAATCTAACCGTTTATTTTTTTATTTAGATATTTATTTTTGTATTTGCTATTTTTCTATTTAAGAAATATAATATTAATTTTATACTCATCCTAATAAGATAAATTTTATGAAAAATTAAAGTTTCAGTAATTATAAGGAGATAAAGATGGGTTGATTTTATAAATATAATATCTCCTTTAAAATATAAAAGCAAATAAAAGAAAGACAGAAATAGAGAAATACGAAAATCATTGATTAAGCTTAAGCCAAGTAAAATATATGAACAACGGATTACAGTAGTTGCACTTCAGCATATATCAATATAATCCGCTTGATGAATATTGCGAATAATCAATCCAGAGGTTTATGTGTATATAAACCTCTGTTTGTGGCATCGACGAACGGGATATATTGTAAATCCGTTGTCGAAGTTAGTCGCATGTTCCTTAATATAGCAGATTATATTAGCTTATTTCAATTAAATTTTATTCGTGCGTAGCCAGATAAGCGAGTATATATGTATAAACTAATGTCCCCCAATTTTACGCAGCTTCATGCATAATTTATGAGAGTTTACTCTAAAAAAATATGAGTATTTTTCAGATATAAGAAAATTGAATTGTTTGTCATTGACAAAGTTTTGACAAAGATATTTATAACTGAGTTGATTCAATAAACCACTGTCCATATATTCCAAAGAGTTAAAAACCAATACACGAAGCGATTTAGAGAATTAATAGAAAAGTAACAGTTTTTAAAATCAATCCCTCGTGAAATCTCGATTAAAATAGTGGGGCATATCAAATAATTTCGTAATGTTCTTGAATAATTTTCAGGGATGATAGCTGAAAAATAGGCATCGTTTGAATTTTCTGGTTTTGCGGACACTGCCACATCTGATGTGCTCATAACTGTATATATCCATTGAAAAGAAATCATTTAATGCACATCTCGCAGCGCTTAGGATTAAGACTTACGGTTTTATTTGAGCGTAGAGTGTATCTCGACGCCAACCCATATGTGCGTATCACATTAGATATGTGAGTACAAATGAAAGTGGGAGGTACCGTTACTGCACGAGTGCTATGTGTATTACGACAAAAATTTTTTCTGCTCGCGTGTACACTACGCACTACGCACGTGTGTTCTCGTTGCTTTCGTCCGCCAATTAATACACGCTATTGTCGGCGGATGTCCAATTTTTTGTCACGCGAAGGGGCGAAGGAGAGCATCAGTTCCATAAATGTCTAAAAGAGTAATTAACACACTAATGTGAAAGAAGAATATTTCTTAGTTTCGTGTGCCAAAGTATATCTAAAAGACTAAGAATATGGATGAAAATAAGAATAGAAACCAAAAGAATAAGTAATAATAATATTACTTTACAATATATAATATTAATATAAAATCATAAAAATCATAAAAAATGCACCTATGAAGTGAACCTTTTTTTGTGAAGCGATCATTGACCGAATCACATTTTCGCTAAATTTCTTTTTCTCTACTAGAATTTTCAACAAATCCTGCATAGAAAGAATTTTTTCTTAGAGTTTATCTTGAAAATATAATTTGTCCTAAAACAACAGTCCTAAGACAACATTGTATTTCGAAAAATTTTATGTAAATATCTCTCATTCATTAATACAACAACAATAAAATATATAATAAGTTTGATTAATTTTACTAAAATGATAAAAATTTTTAAAATATTGTATTGAATCATAACCACCATATATTCAGGGTAAATTTTAAAAGACAATTCTGTCCATGTGTCTAATTATAAAAAGGATAAAATTACATTATGCTCTGTAAAACAATAATCTGTGTCTAATTTAATACGCAGTTTTCAAAGAGTCATATAGTAGACATATATGTATATATACTTAGTCACATTTCAAATGTGTTATTCAGATAAATAAAAACACGAAAGAGAAAAAAAGAGAGAGAGAGGGGGGGGGCCTCTGAATTATTAATTCAGAATATAATTTCATGCACGATGAGCAATTGGTTCTGCCTTATCATTTATTCGTTAACAGTTTTTCTAACTTTGGAGATAATAACAAAATGTGAATATGTATATTTACAAAGAAAATCGTGTTTAATCAATCAAATAATCACAATTAATTATATATAACATTCGTGTATAATTCTGCATCATAGAAGCATATTATATTTGGCTTGGTGTATAGTCGAACACATTTATTTGTTCTTTTTGTCGTGAAAGATAAATGAACTGCACCCTTCAGGGTAACGAGATTTGTTAAATGTTTTAATATCATTCTGATGTTGAGGGCATTAATTCGCAGCTTTCAGACGAAGACAACTTATTACATTCGGTATATTTTATGAGCAAAAAGACTAAAAAAGAGGAAAGGAATTACATGAGTTACGAATTGGAAGCGCTTGCGATAGTAGAGGCACTTAGAAAATTCCGAGTGTATCTGTTAGGAATTCAGTTTAAAATAATTACTGACTGCGCGGCTTTTCAACGAACCATGAGCAAAAAAGAGTTAAGTACACGTATTGCTAGATGGACTTTAGTGTTATAGAGGATTATGATTACATCATAGAACACAGACTGGGAACCTGCATGAAACATGTCGATGCTTTGAGTCGGCATCCGGTCATGACAATAGCGAAAGGTCCAATTATATCACAAATTAGGAGTCAACAAGTAAGCGATGAAGAGATTCAAGCGATAATAGAAATTGCCAAAGGCAAACCATATAAGAATTATCACATAAGCGGCGATTTATATAAATTTCAAGTAGAGATTTATTCGTTATTCCCAGGGCACTAGAGTTAGATGTAATTCGAACGATTCACGAGAAAGGACACATGGCGGCAAAACGTACCGAAGAGCGTATTCGTCAGGAGTATTTTATACGCGATTTAAGGAATGAAGTAGAACGAGATTATCGTATAAGAGATGTAAATGATACACTGGTCGACAAGTGGCTTGACTAAATAGCATCCGGTCGAATTGAAACGAGTCGTCTACGAATGGCATTACCGTTAAGAATGAACGTTAAATCGTAGACACAAGCATATTGACGTCTCGCTATAATTAAATGCAATTACATCATGTAATTACATTCAGACGGAGAGGCTTCTCTTCTTCACTCCGTCTGTTCTTCGTGTGAATCTTCCCAGATTAATCGTCACGTCGTGAATGTCATAGTCGACATAGTCTAAATTAATTATCCGTAAACGGACCTGCATTGCAAGTTTTGGGGTGAATTTTTTATTACGTTCCTGAAAGCTTAAGATTAGATCATTGAGACAAGGAATTGAAATCTTGAGGAACTTCGTTTTTTCTTGCTACTTCGCGAAAGAGTAATAATCGAAAAAGCAAATACGAATAGCGATAATAGTGGCGAGTGCATAAACAATTTACTAATTATAAATACAATAGATAGTATACTCCTTAAAATTATTATTATAAACAAAAAAATATATGTAATCCAAATATTATTTTAATATGAAGAATTATATTATTTTATTGTACAAAAGAATTCGTTTCTTTTAATTTGAGTAATAATTTAATATTTTGTAATGTAACCATTGGAACTAATTGTAATTACAATTATAATTAGTATATTCTATTCGATATTAATAAATTATTAATTAACGTTTATTTTTCTTGAAAAGAAGATTTTTTTAAAATGTATTTTTTCTGCATGAATATTTTATATTTTTTACTCACTGTATATATTTCCGGAATCATTCTTTGCTTCGAGGTACATAGACACATACATATATGCTTACTTTTATTTTGTATATACATAACAAAATAGGCAAGACGGCAAATATACGCGGTTCGGTTAATACAAAAACCTTCACCTTGCCAAAATGTTTCTTTGATAATATTGTGATTATTTAAAAAAATGTAACAGGATTTTTGAGAGTGGAGACCCGGTACAACATCGATTTAGAGAAATGAGAAAAAATAGAATGACATCGTTAGATAGAAACGTGAATTTCTCAACTTATAATTTTAAATTTTTGACTTATTTTTGACTTCTTATTTTATTATAAAAAATTATATTTCATTCGTAAAGAATCTCAGAAAAAAAAGATTAGCTCTTTTAAAAAGTACATAAATCTAATTTCTTCCGGTTTTCTGTATTTCAGATGTGCGACTGGCGAAAATGAGCCTGGTCCATCGTTATCAGCAATGTGTTGATTTATACTGTTGTTATCCAAGTCCTAGTCCAATGAACGTTCCTCAATTTCAACTGGGAAGTAAGTACTTTAGTTCGCTCTATTATTCGCGGGAAGATTATCAATAGTTTTCTTCTACATTACAATGTTGTAGATAGCATCGACATAGTTTGGAAAGTTTCTCTGCAGTAACACGATGTTTAATAATCGTAATTCGATTAAATTGCCGCTACGTCATCTTATGGAAATTGCGTGATATCGACATATCGACCTCTGATTATAAGTAACTTTAATTAAATATAATCGTGAACGTAACCGAATTAACCGATCAAAACTTACCGCGTTCTTTCGAAATAATAAAAACTTCTTATGATGATCATTCATTGCAGACGATATTATGACATTGCTTAAAGTTGCGGCTCTCTTAATATCTTTGAGCTGTATCATATTTTTGAACGACAATTTCAATGTAAACAATGCACAGTATTTACGAATTTAAATTCGAAAAAATATTTCTTGTTTAGGAATTCCTTATTATAATTCTTTATAATAAAAGGAAATTATTCTTTATCTACATTTTTCCCAGTTTTTCTAGAATCAGCATTGCAAAATATGTATATTTATAAATTAAAACGACGATCTAGTTATGAAAAATGTTAATTAATTCTTGCAGATTAACGACATATCTTTGCTCGTCCCATTCTTACACGCTCGTTGCATCTTCCTCGTATGCTGAGTAACGGATCGATACCAAGATACCAATAACCGGCACAGCGAGGTCCGATCTACGCGTGTGTGTAAGCTCGTCTCCGACGTGTAACGACATTGAACCTACCTTCATGTTCAAATGGAACGTGGACGAACTGGTCAGTTTTCAGTAGAAGTGGGTCAATCACGGTCATCGAGCCGCGTGAGTTACAGTTGTGATTTTTCCGTTCCGGTCGTTCTCCGATTCAGTCGATTTTCGTGTGATCGTTTTCATTGAGTGGCATAAATCCACGAGATGACTATTTGCGAATCATTACCTTTCATATACGAAAGAAGAATTTCGTTGAAATAAAAATTTAACTAAATACAAATTTAATTTTGTTGAATCATCAAAATAATTATGTAAAACACTCTCAAATTGGTTGCTAAAATATCAAAACTTTTTACGGCGTTTCAGATCATATAATGTATGTATCTAAAGTTTTAGATACTTCTGCAAAACTGTTCTTTCGATATAGTTTATTGTTCTCAATTAAAATGCATAAAATTCTTCGCGTGGGCGTACACTTATGCACGCACACACACACACACACACACACACACACACGCGCGCGCGCGCGCGCGCTTATGAACTCTTATATGATCATGAGTACCGCTTGAAATTCCGCAAGTTACATAAAGCATCGTCAACTTTCTTTCGTGCTGATGATTAACTAATGTGTCACTTCTGTCAGCACACATTTTCTACGCGGAAGGGTGACCGGGTTCAAAACTTTTTGGGCGAGCGAGCCTGACCAACTGACCCTCTATGTGCAAACACTGGGACCGCAAATAATTTTACGGTTGATTTTCAGCCAACGTCGGTCGACCCAACAAGCCGGCAAAAGAAAATAAACAGTCGCTGAAAAACTATGACGCTTTAATGCAGTTCTCACTGAGAGAGAGGATTTTGTTAATTTAGCAAGCCACCAGTACTTTTAACCGGTAAATATGTGACAACAAATTTTGTTGTTATAATTGCTGCTAGTTTGCTATACCAACTAATTATTAGTAACAGAAGCAAATTATATAGAATCTAATCTATCTTTTGGATAGACTTTATGTTCGTTTACATAGAATTCGTAGATGATCGTGGAGTCTTAAGTCATAGGAAACCGACCAAGCACAGTCAAATATAAGGAGAATACTTGATTAGAATTGGTCAATTTCTTATGATTTGAGACCCTGCAACCAAAAATCTACGACTTTTATATATATATATGAGCCTCTTATTTGTTAGCGATACTATTGATTATTTGTTACATTGACAAATTAATTTGCAATCATAACAAATCGATTGTTTTTTTTAACAAATATCACATTTGCTTCACTTGATTTGTTTCTATAACAAAATTATTTCTCTCAGTGTGCCAGTTTAGAGTACACAAACTATATCAGTCTGTCTGTTGTATGTCACTGTCATTCTTGCTACTGTTGATTATTTGGCATATCAAGCAACTTGCCTATTCAAATAAAACGCAAATCTCAATTGGATGTTTAATTTCATGACAGACATCTCCAATTTCCAATTTTTTTTTATATCATAAAATCTCTCTATCTCTTTCCTTCATCCTCGTTTAAACTTGGCGTAGCGTTAACTCAACACGTAAATCTCGCGTTCACCACGCTAAGTAATCTGTCACTTTCTTTGACACGGTGTACACACAGAGTATACCGGGATTACTGTTCATAGATTTTCCATGTTTAGATTGAGAACACGTCAAGCATCTCGGATCAAGTATGATCGTTTAATTATACCAAGTCGAAACACCCTGGAATGTTAACGGCGATTTCATTAAGCCAAAGATCTCAGAGAAAAAGAAAAAGAAAAGTTGATGGCAGAGAGAGAGAGAGAGGGGGGGAGAGGGGAGAGGAAACGGGCTGTCACATTAGGCTGAATGGCCTAGTTTCTACCGAGAGTTCGAACCGGGTCAGAATGCAAGAATCAACCAACCACAGTCGAGTATTTCTCTGTTACATTCAAATGACAATTTGATTAATTTAAATTGCTACTACAGTGCACGTTGTGCCTATTTTTCATTTTCTACAGTCTTGATGCAACAATATTATCCGTTTTTTTAAAATGATTTTATCAAAAAATAATTTTTTCAAAAAGTGATTTGTTTAAACTTTTGTTTACTTCATTTGCTTATAATTTTTTTTATTATAATAAAGATACATATATACATTCACTCAATATCGTTACATTTTTTAATGCCCGACGTTTAGATTGAAAAAAAATTTGTTACAGAGAAGTAAACACTAATTAAAAATAATAATATCTTGATGTTACAATTTTATACTCAATAACGTAAATGTAATATAACACATGTGTTGCATAATAGTGTTACATTCTTGAGTGTAAAATTTCAAATTATAAACATTGATAATAAACAATAAAATTGATGTCATGTTAGGTTGGTATTTATTGTGAATATGTTCATTATTGAAAATTATAAGCCAGTTCGCATCGTTTTGAATTAGCATAATATATCTATCTGAAACTAATATTTTCTGAGAAATACAGGTCCATGAACTAAAAGAAAACATTCTGCTAATTTTTTTCACATACATCGTAACGTATACTACTTGATATGTATATATGAACTTTTTCTAATTTTGGAATTAATTTATTTTGACATAAGCATGCATTTTCGATTTTATTTGATTTATTGTCCAATTTATGTTTTTAATACTTTTTCTTACACTTTGATCTATGTCTTAATATTATTAATTTTTGTTATCATAACCATGCTTTTTGTCACTGTAATTAAACATATTCGATTTGCAAACTTATCAAAACATTATGCTTTTACTTATTTACTACGATTAATAAATAATTTATGAGTATTACACACATTGATATCCATTCAATCTACTTTTCTTTTTCATTGATTCACTTTGTTTTCTCAACAAATAATAGCTATTATGATAAATTATCTATTCCTGATTTCCCTAAAAGAAAAAAATTGAATGAATTTGCACACCGTGAATTTGCGATTAATTAAAATACAATTAGGTTTTATATTTATTATGTTTCTTCGCTTCGCAGAACAAACGAAAACTAATTGGTCGCCGATAACAACTCCGGGTGGCTGGATAATAATTCAGTCGCCTACCATCAAAAAATTATCGGAGACTCAAGAGTCGTCGACCGAACCGGTTATGGAATCTCCTCTCCAGTCATTGACTTCTGGTAAGATTAATTGTAGCCTTTGTGAGCACTCCGCGTTTGCGAATTTGCTCGCAATGGAAGAATTTTCAAGAATTGGCAAACGCAATCATGCAAATGAGCAACCGGAGCAACAACTTGGAAGAAATATCTTCTAACAAGTCTAAATAACAAGAAATCAATTAGAAGTTCCTAGTTTTAATATTGCGACAACACTGAATTTCAGAATTTCCTTCTGTTAAAAAAGCTTCTTGCAATAACATATTCAATTGTATATAAATATAATTTTTACAATACAATTTCTATTTTATATAAATTTTATATAGATAAGTTGTGTCGCTTTTTATTTCATGATGCGTGATGTAACAATGCTTTATTAATTAATCTTTTATTCTACTTCTCGAATTTTCAGTCACCGATAACAGAGAGCAGTATCATCCCCGACATTATAAAGAGACCAACAGTGACAACTTTATTGTCAACAATTGCCAGTGTTACGATCGACATGGAACTTCCGGTACCAATGGAGACCCTCAATATGTCGGATTACAAACAAGGTTAATATTTAGATGTTGAACAGATCGATGTAATGTTACGACGTGCGCTTCACGTGCACGAGCGGGTGCACGAATAAAAGAAATTAGATCGTTCCCAGACTGGGTGACCGGAACGAATTGTTACTCGACTAGAACTAGTCTCAGATTAAAAACAAAATGACGGGTGAAATGCTGAACTGGATTTGGGTCGGAATTTACGTTATTCCGTTCAATTTTGCCCCAGTTAAATCCCGAAGATGATCCAACTTCTGATCGTATAACGATGCTTTCATCTTTTCTTTGCGGATTACCGCAAGTTTAATATTAATTAAACTTCTCGTTTGACAAGGCAGACGTCTCTAGTAATTTTAACACAGATTCACATCTGCACATTTTACATATAAAAAACAATTCTAAGTGTAGAACAAGATTTATGTTATGCAAGAATTTTCTGACTATGTGGTTCATCATGTCAATTTTCAGATAAATTCCTAAATTTGCATCGAAAGAATTTTTTATGAAATGTCTAAAAATTAGCCAAATATAAATTTAATAATAATTTTGTTAGAACATCAAAATGATTATGTAGGAAATTCAAGTATCATGAACAATGCTGTAAAAAGTTTTGATATTCGTAGCAACCAGCATGAACGTCCTACATCATTTTAACAATATAACAAAATTATTTTCAGATCTGCATCTAGTTAAATTTTTAAATACTTCAACAAAACTGTTCTTTCCTTGTAAATTTTTGAAATTTTCCTTTCTCATTATATTTTATCTAAATTAATTTTTAATACTATCACATAATGTTTATCGTAATTTATTTAAGCAGTTAAAAAAAGTATTGTTTACGATTATTTGAAATATAGGAAACGCATTAATTTATGAATTATCGATGATTTGATTGATTACTTTATGTACCATTATATAAGTTACCATCTAATTTGCAATAGCACATCTTAATTTAAATAATGATAGTATAATCATAAATTTTAACGTCAATAATTTCCCGTAATTAATGATGATATGCGCGTCCGAGTATCGCAGATAATATTGACAGAAAAATTCTAATTCCGTTTACAGACAGACAAAAGTATTATATGAGCGATACATCCGCACAACAGTAACAGTTCATCCAGTCGAACAAACGCAGCGCATTCAACATGATCGTCCAATTGAGACTGATTTAACTCGACATTGAGTGCTTTCCATTTGATGACACAAATCGACACAAGTCGCCACAAGTATCGTTCTATCTTTCTTGATATTCAGAGAGGGACAAAGATAGAATGACAGTTGTTTCGACTTGTGACGACTTGTGTCATCAAATAGAAAGCATCCATTGTTTGTTCTTGTAGTATGCGTACGAGAAGAATATTTACCTGAAGCCCAAGCCATCGTCGGCGGTGAGCAAAGTTCCTTTGAAAAATGACTTTGGCAGATGAATTTGAGGAAGCTCACATACAAAATAATTAGAATTAGTTTCTTTACGCACTTCATAATTTCTCTGGAATCTCCAAAGAGTGAAAATTGAGTCAGTTTTGAAAAAGCATGTCTCAATTTTCAATCTTTAAGAGTGAGATTTTATCTCTTCATAGTCAGACTCACTCTAAAAGTTTTAGAAAGCAAATATATCTTAACTATATATATCGTATATATCGTAATATTTTGCTACATTATATTATTTATACATTTTATTTAAACATTAATGCATTAACGTAAATCACATTTGATGATTATTTGAAAAAATTGGTATTAAGTCCGTAATTTCAAGAAATCAACTAAAAAAGAAATTCAATAAAATTTGACCTTTCTGAGATCATTACAAATTTAAATTCGATCCATCGTCTGTCGCACGATTGCAATAATAAATTATTTTAAATATTATGCAGAAAAAGATGTAATCGTGATAATAATTTTTTTACGACAATAACATTTTATTATATACTAAAGATAATGCGTAGATCGATCGACCCACAACGCGACGTACGATTGATTTTCTCATGTGGTAGATTTCGTTGCAGATCTTATTAAGTCAATGGCAATCGCAGACGTATAAACAAAATTGCGGCGCAGCATTGTTGAACGAGAACTGTCTCGACTTGTCTTGACTTGTATAAACATTTTCTCATCTGATATATTTGAGAAGCGCGACCAGGATTATATGGATCATCCTAAAGAACATCATAAGAAACTCCATGTTTTTTTAAAGAGAACCAGAATTTCATAATATTTTTCTGGATTTTATTGTTCACGACATCTGATCTTCTTTCACAATTTTTGTCTTCACATTGTCATCGCGTTTCAATCTCTTTTTTAGAATTCTTTTTAATTTTTCAACACTGAACGTAATTTCTTTTCTTATAGCAAGACATTATTATTTAAACTGCAACAGAAGATTGCAAACAGTATTTTATTTTCAGATAGAATTTTCCAGCAAGTGAATGCATTGATATATATTTTGCAGCGTACCACCTAGCGAGCTATTGTTAAGGATCGGTGAGCACGATTTGGTGAATGAAGATGAGCTATATGGGTATCAAGAGAGAAGAGTGTAAACTGTGACGAGCCATCCACAATTCGACGCGCGTACTTTCGAGTACGATCTTGCTTTGTTGCGATTCTATGAGCCTTTTCTGCCATTTCAACCAAATGTTTTGCCAATCTGCCTGCCCGACAATAAAACCTACATTGGTCGTATTGGTCCATGTTACTGGCTGGGACAGATTTTACGGTATTAAACTGCATCGTCAATTAATTAAGTGAACAATACAACTTGGAATTTATATCCTCATATTAATTACTCTTCGTCTGCAATCATATTTTACTGTGTTCTCGACTTTCCAAATATATAGAAAAATTCAGGCTTAGTTTTTAATATTTCTATTATATTTTCGAATAATTTTTTAACAAGATATTTTAAGAAGAGAAATCAGACTCAGAGTGTTAATATTTGATACATGTTAATTAGTAAAAAACTATCGACTGTTTTAGATAAAATACTTTTATTAAACTACAAGATAAATTATTGTCATTCATCAGATGCCTAAAAATATAATTGTCTACTTTTGCAGAGAGATCAGTACCGTCAGTACTACAGGAGATTGCAGTACCGGTTATCAATAATACTGTATGTAAAGCGATGTACAAAAATGCGGATTACATTGAGCACATTCGACATATACTTATCTGCGCCGATTGGAAGAATGGCGAATTCCACTCTTGCGAGGTCAGTTTTTGCTGACGATAAACAAAAGAAAAAAGTCATCGTTCGTATCATTTCAATTTTTGAGAAATTGAAAATAACAATTAAAAAATATCCGTATAATTTACATCTTTCGATAATACATATAATTCTGATAATCATGTATGGCTATGTCATAGTAAAAATATTTTTAAAAAACTTTAGAAAATTAAAATATCTATCTAGATAAGTTGCAGATGCCTCTCGAACATTATAATTGCTTAGAAATAAATTAGTGATATAAAAATTTATAGCAATAATATTCTGTAATATTATTGCTACGAGTTTTTATATCAATAATAAGTTTTTAGATAATTATTATGTTCCCTACAACAATTTAATACTGAAAAGTAATTATTAATTACTTATTTTAAGTATTAAAAGAACTACTGTTCAATAATTTTCGGTATTAAATTGGTTTTCTTTGAGAATTCAAAAGGCAAAAGTTGTGTATAAGAATTATCTAAAATTATTGATAAGATGTTTCAATCTTATAAATATATTTTTAAATATTTTTATTATGATTCAATAATATATGAGATATACACGTATTATCAAAAGACATATCTCTTAATATTTTAACTTCTATTTCTTTCAGGGTGATAGCGGCGGTGGTCCAAAAAACGCCAGACAAGCGATGGATCCTTGTTGGAATCGTCAGCTGGGGAAAAAGTTGCGCTTCGCCTAATCAACCTGGCGTTTGCACACATATCTTAGAATTTCGCGACTGGATCAATTAGATCCTGCAGTTCTGAGCAAGTTCTCGGAAAGAGCATGATTCACGCTCGAAATTCGCGCATTTGCATCGCGCCGACTCCTATGGATTTGTAACGATCGCCAAGCAGACGAACGGCACCATCTGCCGGAGATGTGAGCCAAGTGCAATTTAGAGGAAAAATCTAAGAGATCTCAGCACGGAGATTCATAGAGATTTGTGCGCGTGTTGCGAACTTACACGACATGTGGAGCCACTGATTCAATTTTTCTGTGTAAAACCGTAACATATGCATGTACACGCGATTTCCCGGGAAAATCCGACATGTTACAACGATACAAAGGGTACACTCGATTTGCGTATCGGAGATATTATGGATATCAGTAATAAGAACATCAGACTTTGTGACGAAAATTTTTGATCAACTTAGACTCTTTTATCTAGAATCGATTTAAAATAGTTAATTCCAGGATATAGCATTACTTTTTTAAAACAAATTGTTCTTTTAGATATCTATAGATGCTGTTCAACATTAATTTCTTAAGTTTTCTCCTTCTACCAAACATGTATTTATTTCTAATGTGTTCAGTTTGCTCAAAGCTTGATTTAATAAAAGCTTATAAAAATTCACGTGATTGCGGTATTATAGATTTATCAAGGAAATATTGAATCTGTTATCAATTTAATAATAGAAAATAATTTTTTAAATGAACTTCCATTGCCGCGGATACTTTTTAGATGACCCAATACATATAACTTTATCATTTTCGGAAATAATTTTCTTCTCTACAATTTGAAATAAATTCAATTAAAGTAATGTGATTTAAAATATATATATGTATATATATATATATATATATTATATTTAATTCGATATATAAAAATTATTTCTAGGCAATTTGACTTAGCTAGGAATTATTGTACAATATTTAGAAAAATATTTGCAATTTAATGTTTTGCATATTTTGATTTATCATTGAAAGTGATTAATCGTGAAGCTACTGTGATTCAGAATTTACATGTTTTCTAAATATGTATTTACATGTAAAAACATAATAGAATAAACTTTTGAATCACAGTATGCAAAAATTGTCTATGTAAATGATGTTTGTCTATATAAATGCGGCATAACTTTCTATGGTATCGTCAACAAATATTTTAGCGAAAATACTATCAAATGAATATAATTTATAAAAACTCATATTTTTTACGAGTTTTCCAATTTCTGCTTATCAGAGAACAAACTGTTAAACTTTTTCATCAGCTCTCTGAATATTTTTTATATACAAAAATGACAAGATTTACACAAGTCCATTCGTATACAACGATATTTTATATAAATTTTTGTTTATACCTAGAAACTTAAATATATGTATAGCCGGGCATGAAGTAAATATCCTAAAATCGCTAATTGAAAAAAGACTGATTTTTAATTTTTCTGCGAAATTATATTCTATTATTTTATCAGTGATAAGCATATTAGATTTTGTAATAAAGGAGCAAAATTTTCGATTAATTTTGATTCCTTTATCTAGAATTGATTTAAAATAGTCAATAAAATAAAATTATTAAAAAAAAAATAAATTATTTCTTTAACCTTTAATTGTTTACGTGGAATTGCGGCGATTCCAACTTATTTTATTTAACGATGTATTTTCGCGCGACAAATTAAAGATTAAATATTTATAAGATAATTGGATAAAACGAATAATCAGTATGCGGACCGTGTTATCAATTGTTTATGAAAAGATTCGTTATCAATATCCGCGATAATCGAGTTGCAATTGTTAGTGTGATTTAATATTCCATTCCCGACGTCAATCACACACAGTTCCCCTCGTTATAAATTTACATAGTAATTTCCAGGGAATACCAATGGGAATTTCAGTGCATTCTTCAAAGCTCATGAATATCCAGTTGTCCCGATTGATCTTGGGAAGAAACTAAGAGAAATTCTACGCCTAGCTTCATAAATTCTATCTCTTTCTCTTCCTTTCTTCGCAAACATTTCACTTCGTAGTTATTTGAATATAGTTTCAAGTGAAAATGAATTGATGGTGCGCTAAAAACGTGCTCATTAATCTCAATGGCTCGTTTGTCAGTCAACAAGCAACTCATTACATACATTTTAATCTAAAAAATATATTTCATGTAAATTGCGAATTAAATTCAATCGAATTAAAAAACTCAAAAAGACAAATTCATTTATAGTATCGCAGAGAGATATATATATATATGTACCGAGATATTATTTAATTTAATTATTAAAAAAATTTATATCTACAGAAGCATGGATTATATTATATTGTATACATATGTGTACACAATGACGTAGGCGCGTGTATGCGTGTAATTTAATCGCGCATGTGTATTTTAGATTATGGCATTTATGAAGAGATACTGTGTACCCTGTTTTTGAACGTCATTTGTCAGAATACCTTAGTTACTCAAAGAAACACTTCGCACGATTGCATTAATAATGTAATGCAGTTGTACACATCTGATTACTCGAAAAAAAATGTCATTTCGCATTCTCATTATCGCGCGGATATTTTTTGCTAATTAAAGCCATCGAAACAAATGTCGCAGCTTAAGGTAATATAATTGGAATAATACGATTCTATTGTACATGTAAATATTTGGTATCGATCAGATTATGGTGCGGTACGTGCGGCAGGTTCTCGCATCTATTCACTTTTCATTTCTCGTCGACCACGTCCACCTTTGTATTTATGAGATGATTAAAAAGCGACCGTTCGTATCCGCAAACGCTGTGCCAAGCTGTGTCGATTATACCCCTACCATTAATCCCCTTTTTTCTTTTTCCTTTATTATGTTTGTGTCGCGTGCATTATATCCTCTCTTGCGTCATTGCCAGTGCATCCCCGTCGCTGCATAGCGAACAATGATGTGGGCGTTTGATATTTGCACGCTAAGGGAAGTTCGTGATTTCAAATATCGCCCACGCGTCACAGACGCCCACCTCTCTGGTTTGGCCATCAACACAAACAGGGACAGACGAAGAGTGAAATTTTGCAAAATTGAGTTCGCTGCTTTAATGAACGTACTCAATAAACTCCTAACGAGATAAAATCGCAGTTCATCAATGTTTGGTGCGAAAACTTTAACATTGTTAAAATTTATATTACGAAAATAATAGGTATTCATTTATCCTCCCTCACATTGAGTGACACTTTTGTTATTAGATTCCCATAAAGCTTATTGAAACATGTGTACCTTGAAACTTTTAAATCGAAGAATATGGATAGATAATCAAAAATATCAGAATCAGAAGTAAAATTTACAACTAGGATGAATTAAATTTATATTCATTTACATGAATTTGTTTACATTATAAATATTAATGTGTAGGTATATTCTATACATGCTAAAACGCTATACAGATGCTTTGTCGGAACACGTATCTTAAAACTTTTTAATCGAAAGAAATTAACAAGAAAAATCCAAAAATGGAAGCTAGAATTAAAATTTACACTAAGATGAATTAAATTTACATTCAATTGACTTCACAAACAGGATGTATGAATTTTATACATTCTATACAAAACTATTAAAACATTATAGATATTATAAATGGGATAAAACTAGATCGAGCTACAAATAAATGCGCTCACTCAGGAAGAGAAAATTTTCATGTCATAACAGATTCGATTTATTCGTAGTGTTTCTCACGCTGGATATTAAAGTCCTAAATGCATCGCGTGGAGTTAGCATCTTCTTGGCCATAAATTTTCCCGATGTTAACGGTACGCTGCCAATCGTTAAGGATCGAGTTCGGAAGGATCGGTTTTCCTTCTCGTGTGAAAGATATCGACCGATCAACCGTGAAGCTTCTCTCAGATACAGTTAAAATTCGATGAGCTCGTTTCGGGACATCTATTCCGCTATCCTTGTTTTATCGAGACAAATATGTATATTTAACAAGCATAGTTAATTAGGTAGATTCGTGTATTCGACGATCGTTGATTGTCGTTATTGTGGTTCATACATCACTGATGTCCGTATAGTTATATTGTTAAACCGATATCAGATTAAATGCAGCAGATAAATTCGAGTTTCTCGATTCAGGAGATTCGTTCATGAAAACAAATATATGAGGGAAAATTTCGCAAAAATCTGGGTATTTCTAATTCTATTTCGCAAAATTCTAGGTATTTTATCCTTTGAAGTTAAAAACGAAGGTACACGAAATATAAAAAAATTTTATTTCCTTTTCTGTTTATATCACTTTCTTGTTGAGAGTGTATTTCAGAAAAATTAAAACGTCGTAAAATGTATTTAAATCATCCTAGTGAATAAATGCAAGAAGAAAATTCTTCACTCGCAAATAGAAATATGCGAAAATATATTATTTAAATGCATTCGTTTTTCATTACGCAGAAATATCGTAGACAGATGTCGTAGAGAATTAAATTATAATTGCAAATTGGTAAAAAAAGCTTGCTCTTTGAAGTAGATTTTATGTTAATAAAGTGTTAATTAGTTGCGAATTTGATGAAAAATTATCAGAATTTGTAGAACAGTAAAATGCGCAGTATTTCTAATAGACTCCATATATACTACTGTATGGAGAGACGTAAAATAACAAAGTGAACGAACAGTATTAATGAGAATTGAGATTGAAAAGCTTATTGTTTTACTCAACACAAACAGAAGAGAGAAAGAGAGAAGAAGGTTCCATTATAACTCTCAGGTTAGATAAAAAAGGTTCTTTCTTTGTTATTTTTCTCACTATATTTGCCACAGTAATGAGATTGAGACAAAGTTATGGTCGCAATCTATCCTTGCGTTTCTCTATGCAAAACTGGATTTATTTATAAACATTCACAGGTAAAATTTGTCGCCTCTGTTAATTAATATTTCTCACTCATAATCACGGAAAAATTGCCGGCAAGAATATTTTTCAGAATTTTTTCTGTTTGTCTTTTTAATACTGTGTTATAAATTATTAATTTAAATATTTGTTATTTAATGTTATAATAATAATGTTATATAATTTGTCAGTTTCTTTAAAATTTCTAATTAGAGAAAAACGTAATAATATTTTTTTTAATTTTAAAAGAAACGCAACTTTCATTTTATTATGTGTATATTATGAGGTCTACAAAAGAATAAATAATCACACTTTATATTCCCCTATCAAAAAGTACGAATTGGCCTAGAAAAGAAAAGAGAGAATCGCGGTTTTTAAATTATATTTAATGAGGTAAACACGACACAATCGTTGTGAGCAATTTATGCGGTAGTAAATATAATTCTTTCGGAATGTGACTCTCTCTCTTTTCCTTCCTCGTGATTTCATTGGCACGCTGTGACTCGGACGCACGGCAAAATAAGCTTGTTAAAATAATGTTTGCGCTCGAAAGCGATTTATGTGAACAACTTTTTCCCGACACAATGATAGATTCTATAATAGAATCCAACGACTCATGTTGCTCGAGCCTGATGGACGTCAATTGATTCTATTGGATTTTTTTAGACGAGTTATGTACGTCTTACAATCGCGCGAAGAAAAT